ATCAATCAATCAATCAATCAATCAATCAATCAATCAATCAATCAATCAATCAATCAATCAATCAATCAATCAATCAAAATAATGGCTCTAAATTCTAAATTTTGGTGATGTGACTGATGGTTACAGAGTCCTTAATGGCTTAATGGTTGTGCCAAGGAGCACTATTATTTAGTTTTGCAATTTTTTGTTGTTGTTGTTTTTTTTTTTTTAACAGAATTTGTTTGAGCAAATGCTTCATTTTTGTCCAAATTTTAAATAAGACACGCAGCATAAAGTTTAAAGAAATAATCTGTTTTTAAGCTAAGAATTGTTTTGGGGTTTTCGACTGAATGGAACAACACAGATGATTAGTTCAAGGACCGCCATATAATTGAAAAATCTGATGGTTACTTGTGTTTTTACACTTCCTGGCTCTGGTAAATGGTGTCATTTTTTGGCAATTTTCACAAAATCACAATTCATTCAAAGCGGCCTGTGAGTTTCAGGGTTCGGCGGGTTGATTTCTCATCCATCATGTATTCATGTCAGAGGGACATGTGATTGGGTAAAACTTATTCTGCAGTCTTACAACAACCGCAATCATACAGACACGATTTCTTTGCTGCACAAAATCATCTCAGTGTTTCCAACTTTACTCTGATTACAGTTTTTACTTGTGGAATTTTTAGTTTTACCACTTGTAAGGAAAAAAAGTCTGAGCAGGGAGAGTCACTCCTGAGCTGAACTGCCTACCACTGGTAGACATTGATTGACAATTACAGACAGTTTCCTGAATGCAACCTGCAGGAAGCAAGACTCCATATTCTATAATTATTGGCTGAATTCTCTGGTGGTGTAATTAAATGAAACAAAAAGGTAATGCAGTTGTTACGTGTCTTAATGGCATGGGAGGTTTTAGCACTTGCATTTCCATAGATGAAATAGCACCATTCCAATTATATATATATATAACTGATTATTTAACTTGAGGGTCGCTTAGGGTCATGAATCATGTTTCTGAAGGTATTGTTTGTCTTTACTAACTTGCCCTAAACTGTGGCCACAAATACACATAACAATGCAATAATATGTGGTACTATTTAAAAGTCAACATTTTGAATCCCCAAACCTGCCGGTGGGTTTAAAAGGTATGTTTTATTTTTTCAAAAATCACCACAATGATGCTATTTTTTTTTAGTGCAAGAATGCATTAAACCAACTTTCCAACAGTCCTTGAACTACTCAACTTTATTGTGTCACTCAGTCAGAAAAGATTTGTCAAATTTAAGCTTGAAATTGTGACATTTTATTGAGATCATTTTGTTCTAGCTGTTTTGTTTAGGCTGGTTCACGTCCCAGTGGGGGCACCGGGATCTTTCTGCGTGGAGTTTGCATGTTCTCCCCGTGCAGCGTGGGTTCTCTCCGGGTTCTCCAGCTTCCTCCCACAAGTCCAAAAACATGTTGAGGTTAATTGGTGATTCTAAATTGTCCGTAGGTGTGAATGTGAGTGTGCTTGGTTGTCTGTCTCTAAGTGTAGCCCTGTGATAGACTGGTGACCTGTCCAGGGTGTCTCCTGCCTTCACCCTGAGTCAGCTGGGATAGACTCCAGCCCCCCACGACCCTAGTGAGGATTAAGGGGTGTACAGATAATGGATGGATGTTTTGTTTAGAAATTTGGCCAAAATAAATAGTTTGTAGTAACAAACAACAACAACAACTTGTATAGAAATTTAGGGGCTTTTTGGCTGGACTGTAGGTTGTGTTTAAACAGATCAGATAAGAGATAAATATGGAAACATATAAAACATTTAAGCAATAAAATGTCTATAGCCACTATAGACATAAAGCCTCTGTAGCCACTTTTTTTCCCACCCAATATTTATAAAATAAATAGTCAAAGACATTAAAATGTTCTTTGTTTTTGTGATTTATGGCATTGCACTTTGTTATACTGCACGGAGGACATTTATGATTTCTCTATCCATGGTTGTGCTGTTTCCACAGAGGTGCAGGACTTTATATTGTTTAAGTTAGAAAAAAAAAAAAAAAAGGAACCCACAGTGAGTAGAAATGTGACACAGCATGGGGATCAGAGAATAAAGGATTATTTCGGGAGGGAAATACAGCACTCTTACCACCAGCTGGTTAACCCATGTAGCACAAAGCCTTTACAGCCTTTATGCAAAGCTAAGCTAACAAACTGTTGGAGTTGGCTGATATGAGTTTGACACTGAGTTTCTCATCTGAGCCACTGAAAATAAAGCCATTTCAAAAATTACAAGCAATTCCTTCAACCCCCCCTACCACTAAATTCACATCACTGCTGTCATTTCTTACGTTCTCTGCCATCTATAAAAGTTGAATTACTATGTATTGCACCAGTGACGTGCGGTGAGGTTCATGGCTGGTGAGGCACTGACTTCATCACAATCAGATTTACAATTATATGCACTCTACAGAGTAGCTTTTGTGCCATTTGATTGGCAGCAGTTTATGAGTTATGCTTTATATCTGCATTCTTTACACATACAAGCTGTAGCCCACAAAACGCACATTTCATTCTAAAAAAAAAACAAAACAACTTATTGCTGTCTTACCTTTACTTATAAATAAAGTCCATGCACTGCTCCTTCTGGACAAAATATCCATTACTTTGAAAGTCCACTTTGGAAGATTGTTGAAGCTTAGAAATGTAATCCTCCATGCTGAAAGTCACACTGGGCGAGAGAGGGG